GGCGTTTGGATTTGACCCTTTCTTGCATTTGGATTTGACCCCTTTCCGCGTTTCGATTTGACCCCTCTCCCCAAAAGTAGAGAGTTACTACCTACACAAGACTTTGCGAATGCTGCTAACGGCAGTGTGGAGGGCAACCTGAATATCGTGAGCCCTCTAAATTCTGCAACGCCGGATGACTCGCATGTGAAACAATACAATGCAGCAGAGCACCACGACCATCACCATTGTTGAACCAAGTGCTGGCGAAACGTGTCCTCTATGAAATCTCACTGCCGGCCCCTAGGAAGACCCAAGAGCTCTGAACAGACCGGAGTCAAACCCAAAGAACGTGCCTTCGGTCTCCAAGCACGCTTTCGCCAAGAAGTGCAGGGCATCTGCTTCGCCTACACTCTAAAAGAATCACGCATGCTATGCACCTGACACTCAATGAAAGGTGCTAGACTGCCTTGGTCTGACTGAAGGGACTCTGATGGACCCAGACTTACACCATCGCTCAGCCTGCTCTGCACCTCTGATCCCAGTCTTCCAAATAATTTCGGAATGCAACTGCATGCGTCCATGTCTGCACGAAAAAGAAATTCAAATATTTTGCCAGCAGAGCTCCGTGTGTTGGAATCACTGGTTGTAGAATACAGGTAAACGAGTGCAGGGTTCGGCTTTTGTCAGGCCCTGATGCAACTCGTGAATAAAAGCAAGCTTCACGCCTCTTCGATGGCCAACTTCACGGCTTCGTGCGACTGCCTCACACTCTACATCTTCGCCGGAACTCGGCAATGCCATAGCATCATGGCAGGGGCGAGTTGGTTCAGAAGCAACGAATCGCCTTTGCACCGGCGCGGAATGCCTGTCGGCTGCTGGGCTGGGCTTGTCGCGTGTATCAGGTGCCGGAGGTCTCCGCCTCACCGGCCTTTCTTGTTGAAAGATCCAAGGCAGCACCTTTGAGAAGCCAAAACAAAAAATAACGGCAGCAGGCAGTGGCAAGCTCAGTCGCAAGCGGCCGATAACCAACAACGCCCTGACCTGCAAGAGCTTCTTCAAACATCCGCGGAACTATCAGCCGCTGTGACTTTCAAGTGGGACGAACTCAAACTCCGCACCTCGTCTCTCCGAGAAGTCACCGATGAATCCTGCAAAGTCAAAAGGCGAAATGTATCCAAACAGCTTGGTGATGTTGCAGCGAAAAAGATGATGCGATGCCGAGAAAAGCGATATACGACACGATCTCGCCACTGCTTCTGGATTCCTACTGTGCAAAGCACAAAAAAATAATCAGCTCGATAAATGCATCCTGCAGCTGTCTTTATGCCGCAGATGAGGCAGTCGAAGACAAGCCCGAAAAGCTCTGGTGGCTTCCAGCTCTCTAAGTCTAATTATCTACTTGCGCGACTGCACAGAAAGAAGCATCAACTGGCAGCAGCAAAACGTACCGATGATGACGAGTGCGCCCACCTTTGCTGTCGCCAATTCTCGCATCTTCAAACTGCATGCCTGCTGGGAGAATATGAGAAACCCCGGATGTCAATTCCAGTTCATGCCTGTAGAAGACCGTAGATACCGTGTAACTTCCTCTGAACTTCCCTGAATCTGTGCACTTTGTTGATTTCTCGTGTGATTGAGATACATTCGGGCCCAAAGCCCGGCAATTCAAGAGCTGCTTCCAAACAATCTTCCAGTCCCGCCACACTGCAGACAAGCCAGGCAAAGATCACATCCTGGACAGGGAATCGGTCCATCGATTGCACATCTAATGAGACCATGAAACAGGCAGTTTGGCACGGACAAGGATAGCTTCTTGGAGCCTTTTAGCATGTGCAAAAATCGCGGTCTACGCTGCCTTGAGATGCATCCGTCTCGTTGTGGCCCGCCCATGCCTGAGGCAGTTCCACACCCCATTGTGTCAATAGCAGGGGCTTTGTGTATTGCTACGTTCACTCTCTCTCTCGCGATGCGAAAAGCGTGTCCACAAGTGAATCCGATCATCAGCAGCCTCTTCAACCGGACTAATGCGTGCTGACGACCAAAAAAGTCGGCGGAATCGTGAGGCATGGGAAAAAAGTTCAGGGAAAGTCCATATAAGATGGGCAAATCTATACAAGGCTGTTCACTACACTTTTCGGGTGAAACGATGACAGGACTAAGGTAAATTTGCCGGCCACTGCGGGAAAAACTTTGTATGAAAGGAATTTTCTATAGTCGTTGACGAAGCTTACCCGATGCACAAGGGATATTCGCGGCACTCGCCGATAAAAGACGGAGCACTGATAAGTCAATTGACGTTGGCACAGAGCATGGGACGCCGCGGTCCGCGGTTCCCGGTTCGCCTCATTTCGGCTCCCCTAGACAGCACTGTGGAATAACTCAAAAGTTGCATGATAATAATTGGAATTGTCAGTGCAAGCTGGAACAAGTCATATTGGTAGTGATCCATAAATGCGCCTCTCTGTAATGTGTGGGCTCGCGCACCTGCAGTTCTGACAATGTGACGGGATGTTCCAGAGGTTTCCGGCTGCAACGTACTGGGAGCCACCGTCTCCCCTGGTTGGTTAAAGACGTAAGCATAGGAATTATGGTCAAGTCGGCTGACTACAGGGAGTCTCCCAACTCCCGTGTCGGTGCGACGATAAAGCGGGCGATGACATAAAGACCGACGTAGAACCTCCAGCATCAAGTGTGGGAAACCTGCGTCAAGATCAAAGATGTGAGGTCAGGTAGGAGGCAACAGAGGAGAGCCCATCCTCCACTGTTGCTGTTCTGGTCGTAGCAGTGAGAATGAGTATATCGACCTGAATTTGACGGTCTGGTGCGAAGTCTTGTTGGCAATCGTTCAAGAAGTCTTGATGGCAATGTAGATATTGGCAGGTCGTAATGACAATCAAGGTTACAATGCCAATCAAGAGCTCACTGTCGGGCATAATTGCACAATCTTGGAGTCCGAGGGAATCCGGGAAGCTGGTTCCATGGCGGAAGTGAAGGAACGATCCACTGTGTCTGGTGCCAGAACCTGCTTATTGCTACCATGCAGGGCTTTGACCAATTCGCTGCGTCGGCCGAGGGACCAATACTCAGCCATCATCGACTCACTCATGATGGTCTGAGGAGAATCTGCTGTCCTGTTGCGAGATGGAGCATGTCTTCATGCCAAGCTATAAACAACGATGCGCACGGCTTTGAAGCTCCTGGGTTCTGCCACCATGCCCGACAGATCGAGTTGGTGATACCCACCGACTTTTCCTCTGGGCCGCACTGCGAACTAGACATCACGGCAGGTGGCTTCAATCTTTGCACCACACACCACACCTTGACTCTGATGAGGATTTTGCTTCTGCCTCAGACCTTGGACTTGCAGGCTCATGTCCCCGTCGACTAAGCTGACCTGCTCTATGCAACTCCCCGCTGTTTTTTCCATTCCGCTTGCCACGGTTGGTCCTATGCAATGCAACAGCGTAAAGCACCAACAGCTCATCAAGCTCATTCAGACAATGTAAATTGCACTAACGCAGGCAGCCATCAAAGACGGACAGGACATTCAAAAAAGAGTTTGATCGAGTAAAAGACATGAAGAATGCAGAATGGTGGAGAGGCAAAGAGAAGGAGTCCACGAGCACTGGACACAGAGAGCAGTGGAAGAAAATTCATCATGACGAGGATTGGGAGAAGAGAAGAGAGAGCTCAATGGGGCTGGAGAAAGGCTAAGCAGCTGTCTTGGCCTGCGGCTGGCAATCGTGCCTTGCTCAAGCCCCGAATGAGGCTGCCCTGCCTCTGTCAGTGCAAGAGCTTTCATGTTTGTATAGATGTGACAGCGCTTTTTTGAGAAAAATGCACGAATTCTACATCTTGGGCTGGGGCGTCGGTTTAGGGTCAGTTTCGTGCCCCTAAACTGTCCAAAGCTCAGGCATGCCTTCGAACAGCAGACCACGCCAAACCCTTCAACATCATATGCCTGAACCATAGAATAGAATCATGTGTCCATCTCTCTGCAAAGCATTAGCAGAGATCGCAACCCAAGCCTAAAAGTTCAGCTGCACGAAATTCTTAACTTCGGCTTGCCTCAAGCCTTGCAGCTCGAGCTGCAGCAATGTTGATGTCACTAGGTGCATCTAGGTGCTCTCACGGCAGTCTTTCTTTGCTTGACCTGGTGCTATGATGGCGCCCCGGCCTGGCGTGGCTTGGCCGTGCCGACGGCATCGTTCTCTCTTCTCAACTCCTCATCACATCAGAAGCTCTGGCTCTAGATCGCATCGAATGTTCGTCCTGCTGACTTGAGCACACTGAGCAGGCGAGTCCTCGTCTAGGTCGAGCCGATGGTGCATCCTCCAGTGAGAAAGGACTCATGGCCAAGGCAAGCTGACAAACTCAAAAAAAGCGTGCCCAGGTCGCCAAGGCAATTTGAGCTGTCGCTAGCAGAGCCACGACCCGAAAACGGGCCTTTGGCCAGGAACCTCCGCGGCAGCTTCCTGCGTTCGTTGGCGAGAGACTCATGATTCGATCTCATGGTGTCTGGAATCCCACCTGTGGCCTTTTCCCAACAGATTGGACCTTCTGCCTGGGCAAATGGGCGAAGGCAGATGGCTGCAGGATTTTGCGCACTCGGCAGTACAGAAACAAGCCCAGGCCGAATCTGACATGTTCCGGCTTGCTTACCCCTCTCCGTTGCAGTGCCTGACCAATGCTTCTGCCCGGCTTGGTCGCGTCGCTGTCGACCTCGCTAGCAGGCCCCAGAGCGCAGCAGCTTGCCAAAGCCTGCGAAGTTGCCGCAAACGTGTATGCAGACCGCTGTAATACAGGGTGGCCTCATTGCCAAACACGGCTGACAGTCACCATCAGGGTCTCACAAACGACGGCAAGGCTCCTGCAAAATGACCCTCTGTGCCCTTCTTTGAGATAGTGAAGGTCTGAAGAGAGCTCTCCCCCAGGAAACTGCAGGAAAGAAAGTCGTGTAAACCGCAAGGCGCCACCTGAAGACCTGAAGTGCTAGCAGCGCTTTGAACCAATTGTGCCCGAGGGAGAGGGGGGGACGAAAGCTCGAACCCACAGTATGATAAAGGTCCAATTCTGCATGACAGCCAGCATCATGAGCATCCCCGGTATTCCAAGGTCCCTGTGTTTCTCCAAACCTCTGTTCAACCCTCAACTCGGGTCAGGGCGTTTTCCCCGCAGAGCCTGGGATAGCTCGGAGAAAACCCTCGATTTGTACCCGCATTTTGGGGTTGCCGCCTCCTCTAAACCCCTGACCAGGGCAGAGTATAATCCGAAAGCTCCCACATCAGCTCAGTTTCACAGGCATGAAATTGCACATCCGATTCGACATTGCAGTTTCATGACCTCTTAAATCTCTCAACAAACTCACGGATTCGACACATGCCACGCATTCTTTAATCCACGGGTTCCCCACGACTGTCTCCTCGCCACTCCGCTGCCAGACGAGACTGGTACAATTGCGGGGCAAGGCTTGAGCTCGTGAGCTGCTTGAGCCATAATGTGACGCCAGCAGCCCGGCAGCCCGCATTTTCATGTCTCGTCATGTCCTTCTCGGGTTACCCTCCCGCACTTCGCCTCGCCGAGCCGCGCTGCTCTCCGCCGGGCCTCGTCGAGACGTCCGGCCTGCAAGTGCTCCAAGCATCTGAAAGCCTGAGTGAGAAATCTTTCTTCAACTTCTTCGCCCTGAAGGAGACAAAGGCCTCGAGCAGTGCCTCGGCCGCGGATACCTCGGCGACTTGCGGAAAAAATGCGACCAACTGCCATGCTTCGAACGGGCTTTGGCCTGCGAATCCTGCGTCGTCAATGCACCGCAATGTCGGCTTGCCGCGAGCAAGTCCTTCGGAAGTGAACTTGCTGCGTGTCGATGTTGATTGGTGTACTGGCTGAGATACAACAGAGGAAAGCGACATCATCAAAAGACGCATGCCGGATGCCTCAAGCAGTCTTGCGAGCTTCGCTTTCGCTTGAAGTGCTGGGTGAGCGACAAGAGCAGTGCAGAGATCCTGAACAGTCTGCCACTCTAGCAGCCCCTCGTGCTGCCAATCAGAGTTCCGGCCTGGGCCAAACCCCATCGATGCTCTGACCTCTGCAACTGGAGGCACACACGCCGGGAACCGCGGGAACCGCAGGAACTGCAAGAAAGATCTTGAAGTCCACGAAGCAAGCCGAGATTGGCACTCTCGCTTATCAGCAGCCTGTGCTAAAGCATCATCCACCTTCATGCCACCGGCGCAACACCTACAGTGGCTTCTACGACAGACGATGATTGCATGACAACAGCAGAGCAAAGGGAGCCTCTGCGCAGATTCCAACATGTCCGCAACTTCGCCCCATGTAGCCCCGAGCTCCCTCCACAATGCTAGCAACTCGCGCCTTAGATTTGATGCAAAATCGCGGCACTTACAAACGTGTCTTTGCTCAGGCCCTAGCACAATCCTCCGCATGTGTTCTGCAGGGATGGTCAGGAGCTGCGCTTTGAATTGTGTGACCAGTGCCTCTCTTTCCCATCAATGTTCGGATCTTACCAAAACATGGGGAGTCGGAGAGTCTTCCTGCCTCGGCCTCCCCACTGCGTGAGGAGCGAGAGCGGCACAGGGACAATGCCTCTTCGGCGGCTTCCAAGGCCTCGAAGAGCAAAGTGCATGAATGCATAATCTCGACAAAGACCAGGAGCCTTCTGATGATCTTCTATGCCCAAATGTGCTTCAGCAATGGCACAAAGAGCCGAAGCCTCAACAGGTCGTGCACATGACTCTTCAGAACTCGATCTGTCGCAGTGGTTCAGGATGGTTCAGGGTTCTAAAGGTCAGTGTTGGCCTCCCAATTGTGTGACGCAGAAGGTAAGGCTGTCGAAGAAGTGGCACGTGCCGGCGATGGCATCAAGCAACCACCCTCAGCTCTGAACCTCAGATCTTCTCAAACCGCTCAAGGCCCAGACAGCTTGAAAAACCTTGACCTGGAGGACAGGCGAATTGCGCATCTCGATTTGGTGATCCTGTGGACCCGCACCTTTGGCTTTTTCCTTTGCCGACTTTACAAGTCCAAGCTTCCAAGTGCACAGGGGCACTTCTGACTCGCATCGGGATCCTTCGTGAATGGTCGGCCATACAACTGTAGAGACAAAAGTTCCTCTGCAGCCCTGCTGGACAATCTAAGGCTGTGCCGGTAGGATTCAGCAGCAGCCTGCAGGTGCCACTCCAGGGGGGAAAGCAAACCGTCGCCGGAGAGAACTTGCGGAAACACTAGCTGCGGCACAGAGAATGTAACTTGCAACTCCACTGCAGAGAACTCACCGAACCAGCTCGGTTTATGACGTGAAAGAGCTTCTGCGGGATAAGATAAGCAGTCATCCGCTCCTTCGGAACATGGCAGCACCGCACATGCTTCCCCTGCCCACGGTTCAATCCCAGGTGCAAAGTCCAGACCATTCAGCAGCACAAGTACATAGCCCTTTCCAGTTGCTTTAGACGTGTACGTCACATTGCAGCATGTCGGTCCGTCTGCAAAGCCAGGCTGGTAGTTGCTGCACACGCTGGCATGGTGGCTTCCCACAGACATGTCAAGCTGATAGGTCAACCACTGCGACCCATGAGGCTTCAGCGCCGCTGTGCGAGAAAGATCTGTGGGACAAAAAGCTTTCAGACCGGTGCCGGGGAGCCAGCCTGGCGCACTTGCCACTGCCAACTGATCCGCTTCTCTCCCCGAAAGATCATACGCGACTGCCAGAGGAACTCCCGAAGAAAAAATACCACTGCCGCTGGAAGTCGGACTACGCGAGTTTGCAGCAGCAATGGTGACGTTCATGAGTTTGCTCCAAGCTTGAATCCAAGGTAAAGGTTGCATCTGGAACATCTCGTTCGACCAGCTCAGTGGCATGACAAAGTGCTGAATGCCCTTGTCTACAAGTTCCAATGCAGGCCAAGCATTGATCAAGTCTGCGCACACAAAGACTCCGAATGACATATTGAGCTCCTTGGAAAAGAACTCTGGCAAAACACAGCTGCTGCCTGCATCGGCGGCATGCTCACCCCACAAGTTTGCCTTGTGGTACTTAGCCACGTACGCACCATCCGCATCGAAAGCCAGAGCAGTGTTGAACAAGAGTGATCCATCCCTGCTGTGCTCGCAGCCAGGATAGGGCTCGAGAGAGCACCGCTTCAGGTCAATCAAGCCCACGACGAAAACAAGTCGGTAACTTCGGGCTATGCAACTCAGTCTTTTGACAATTGCTGGAAACTTCGTGGTTTCCAAGCATGGCACAGGACGGACATCTCCTGTTGGCAAATCTGGAATGTCAACAGCATAGTCCCACCATTGGCTTCGCACCGCGCCGGGAAATCCCGTCAGACCGTACTCGGGTGTTACAAGCAGCTGCACTCCTTTGCGACTGGACTCCTCGGCCTTCTCCTCGAACACCTCCAAATTTGCAGCGATGGTAGAAGGTCCATCTTGCCTGTCAGAGGAGTGTTCGCAGGCGTTCTACTGACATGAGAGCAGCAACTTCGCTAGAGTCCGTTAGAGCACTCATGCGGGATCCTTGGCGAAGATCGTTGCTTGCTGGGATCTATTTGTTATCCTTTGCTACTATGGCCTATTACTGCACCCTACTGATGATGTGGCAAAAGCAAATCTGAAGAGCAACAATCGCTAGAAATTATCGAATAAAGTCGTGATGCCTCAAAACTTGAAACAATTAATAAGGGTTTTTGCGGTATTGGCACCTCCTGGACTGAAGATAGGCCAGGTAAGTCCTGGACTTAGGCCACCTGAAATGGGATGATTGAACTACACGGCCGTTGTCAGACATTTGCAGAAGCAGGGCCTCTGACGTACTTCGTGCTCAAGTACTGCAAGCTTTATTGGCGTAGCCACTTCTGCCAACACCAAAATCCAAAGACTGTAAAGAACCATCAGGCGGCTTCTGCTGCTGGATTCAACCATGTGCTTGCACGACGCTACAATTCTCTGCCGACTGCTGCCCATGCTGCGCACTGCACCTAGAACCCATAAAAACCTGCAGAATTTACTAAGTTCCACGTGTCGATTCAAACATACATGCCTGCTGCTCTCAGCATCCTCGAAAGCAGCGGACAGATCGGGAACATGATGATGGGACCACAGGACAGCCGTCGTTGCACTTCTGAATCAGCTGAAGTGGAAAGGCTAGCAGCAGAACAGCAGGCCAAGTGACAAGTCAAGAGCATCTTCTGCAAGGCGCAGTTCCTCTTCCACACCTTGCATTTCACAATCATATACAAAAAATATGACGGCCGGATTCCAACTCCTGCCAACTGCCGACCACCGAAATGTCTCAGCCAAGTACCCTCTCCCAGCTGGCGGCTTGCAGCAGCACGTCTCAGCAAGATTGGGCCTTCACCACCTTCACTGCCATCCTGGAAGTAACCCAGCCAGTGATTCAAAAACTCGCACAAGATATTTCATCTAAGGAGCAGATTTCAAGGATGACAGCACAGCCTCGGCACTAGGAACACTTACGCACGTCGAATAATCGAATGACAGCAACCACTGTGTTGAAGCCAGGAACTGCAAGCTCCGCAGCACTTGCAGGAACAGGAGGTGCGGTGGCAGACGCCGATGTGGTCGAAGCAGGTGCAACAGAGGATTGAATTTGTCCTGGAACACTTACTGTCCGGCAATGAAAGAAGAACGACTGCTACGTGCACGACGATCACATGTGGTCTGACTTTGCCTAAGCACTGCACCTTGCAGAAGCATAAGCTTCACCGAGGGGCTCACCTTGTTTCAAGAGGGAAGTGTATGAAGAACTTAATGCGAGCATATAAAAAGAAGCTTCAAAGTCCCGCACCATGAAACCATGATCCCCTTCTTTTTCAGAAGACATTGGGCGAGGCAAGGCTGCGGCGCAGCCTGGAACAGGCACCTGACAGGGCAGCCTGCCTGCCCAGTCGTGCCCCAAGCCCGGCAGATGGCTGCAGAAGACCGCGCATCCAGAAGATCAAAAGGCCCTTCCGAGTCCACCATTCTTTAATCCCTGTCCGCTCGGCATTCTTGCAACAGCCAGTCAGGTCTCATTTTTTGCGGAACAGACCTGTAAGGTCAATCCAATCCCTCCCCAAGGTGAAACATAAGAGATGACATCTTGATGTTCCCATAGAGCTACGAAAAGGACATGCAGAAACTGTGAGGTGTTTTAAGGCTACTGTTGCAAAAATCTGTGTTTCACTCGCCGTCCTTGAAAGGTGTTCGGAAAGTGAAACGACGAAGAGCTACGGGGAGGGTGCAGTAATCTGTTGCCATTCGAGCAAAGGTCTGCACACCTCCAAAAGCTGCGAAGACATCCAGGAATTCCAATACCTCAGCTTTGATAGACTTATTTCTGAATACGAAAGCCGATGACGGAAATCTCCGCAGCCTGTTGGGCTGCACGAGGGTTTCTTCGACTCTTGCAAGGACGACAAAACCTCCCTTACCATCACATTAAGCATGATTGTAAGTGCTTCACTTGACCACTTGTCCTGTTGTCACTAGGCCCTCCTAGTCATTAGCCCTCAAAATCTCATCATTTCAAGTTGCCGCTTGCTGCAGGGGGTGCAAAAGCTCGAAGCACACTGGGATTAGGTGGCTAAAGTCCCCACAACCATGCGCAAAAAAGCTCAAGAGAGTTTTGGTTGTGGGCAAGTTCCGCTCCATGAAACCATCCACACCACAAACAAAAAATCGAATTTTGAGCAAAGCCAGCATCCTGAACAAGAATGTGATAAGCTGGAAGTGGGCCAAATGGATGGTGGTGTGAAGTGTCGAAAGGAAGAGAAAGCTTGCAACAGGACGCAGACTTTCTCTTGCTGTCGCAACAGGAGGCAAGCGTGAAGCAAGCACCAGGTCACTCCCGTGAGCAATGTTGATTTGATGGCTCCCACAGCGATGCTCCCTGCACATACATGTATATATGATGCAGGGCTGCC